TTTATTTATTATATATATAGTAGCCCAATGTCTGTGACTCTGTAACACTGAAATGCTGGCTGTTCCCTCGGGCAATGCTGTTGCCTCCCTTTGGGCGGTGCTGTTGCCTGAGTCACATCCTTCGCCTCCCACCATGGCGCTCGGCTGACTTCTGCTCTGCTCAGCCGGGCTGCCACGGGAGAGCAAGCTGCACAAGCGGGAGGGGAAGGGGGCGGAGTGGTGACGTATTTGGCCAGGGGGCAGAGCCTGGCCATGTATGTCACTGCCCCGACCACCTTTGCCCCCCCCCTTTTGCCTCCTGCCGCGGCACACGGCTGACTTCTGCGCCGCTTAGTTGGGCCACTGCGGAGGAGCCCATATGGCCACTTGATCTCCCGTGACGGCCAAGCTGAGTGGCGCAGAAGTCAGCCGAGTGCCACGGCGGGAGGCAAAGGAAGGCAGGGCTGTGACATACAAGGCCAGGGGGTGAGGCTCAGCTGTGTACGTCACCGCCCTGCCCCCCTTCGCCTCCTGCAATGGCACTCGGCTAACTTCTGTGCCGTTCAGCCGGGCCGCTGCGGGGGAGCCTAAACAGCCACTTGCTCCCCTGCGGCGACTTGGCTCAGTGGCGCAGAAGTCAGCCGAGCACCACAGCGGGATGTGAAGAGGGGCGGGTTCCGATGTACACAGCCAGGCCCCATTCCCTGGTTGTGTATGTCACCATCCTGCCCCCCCCATTCCCCTTCTGCCGTGGTGCTCAGCTGACTTCTGCGCCACTCAGCCGGGCTGCCACGGGGGAGCCCAAATGGCCGCTTGCTCCCCTGTGGCGGCCCAGATGAGTGGCACAGAAGTGAGCCAAGCGCCACAGTGGGAGGTGAAGGGGGGCAGGGCAGTAAGGTACAGGGCCAGGAGGTGGTGCCTGGACGAGCGTGCATCCCCGACAGAGACAGAGGAGAGCGGCGAGAGAGTGAGAGACAGGAGGGAGAGAAGAGAAAGAGAGAGATGGAGAGAGAGATAGAAGGCGGAGGAGAGCTGAGAGGGGGGGGAGGCTGTAGGAGGAGGAGAGAGAGAGAGAAAGAGACACGGAATGAGAGACCGGAGGCTCAGGAGAGAAGACGAACAGGGAGGAGAGACCTGAAAATCCTGTCTTATGACGGGCTAATTGGCTAGTTCCCACAATAAAAGAAATAGGGGTCACCAAATGAAATTAATAGGCAGCAGGTTTAAAACAAACAAAAGGAAGTTTTTCTTCACTTAGTGCACAGTCAACCTGTGGAACTCCTTGCCAGGGAATGTGGTAAAGGCTAGAACTTTAACAGGGTTCAAAAAAGAGCTAGATAGATTCATGGAGGTTAGGTCCATCAATGGCTATTAGCCAGGATGGGTAGGAATAGTATCCCTAGCCTCTGTTTCTCTGGAGGTGGGTGACAGGAAAGAGCTCACGTGTTGTGATCCCTACTTCTGGGGCATCTGTTATTGGACACCGTCAAAAGACAGGATACTGGGCTAGATGGACCTTTGGCCTGACCCAGTATGGCCATTCTTATGTTCTTAATAGAAAGTATGATACAATTCAAAATCTTGCTACAATTTACAGACCAGTTTCTTGCTTGCTTTTTTAAAAATCCCCTCCAAGTCTCCAGTGTCATGGAACAACTGGTAATGTACTGGGGGCATCTCTACCAGTTCCATCTTTTGGAGACCAAAACTGATATAACTCATATTAACTCATAAAGCTAGGTTGCTTACTGCCTAAGACGGTGCAGTAGTACCATCCACAGAGAATGTGCCAACAATTTTAGTACAAGATCATCAGTGAAAGCAAATTGTATTGCAGCGCATATGCTATGAAATCGAGCTGCTACTATGCACTGCATGCTGATCAAAGACTATTTCCTTTTTGGTGAATAACTTTCAAGTATATAGATGATATTAAGATCTGGGTATACAGCACTGTATACAGCTATGGATTCAATTTATTTATTGATGGAATACACACTTAAAGATTCATTTAACCAGAGCACTCTGAGATGCTCATATGTGGCCAGTGACTCTTTTGAAGTAGAGTGGGTTTTTGACCAGATGTGTGCCGAAAAGCAACTGCATGCGGTGGATACAACATAACCCAAGTAATAACTAAAAAATATTTTCTTTGGTGCTTTTTGATTGAATGCAGACAGCTATGAAGAGAAATCATGTAGATAGACAAGGGGAAATTATGAAGAAGAGATTTTCCAATTAGTGGTTTTTCACTCTAACCAAGTAGGTAAGATGAGGACATTGGAGACCGATCTATATTTTCCATTCAGGTCAGTTCCCTATACTTCTTATAAATCATGGCTATCCAGTGTTTAAGACTCTGTGCCAGTAAAATTCTTAAACATGGTTTTAACTTTAACCACACCTTATTTTCAATAGGATTACTCATATGCTTAAATTTAAGTACACATACTCACGCCTTTGTTGCATCTTATCAGTATTAAGTAAAAGTTACAATACAACATGCACAATGAACATTCACAGGATAAACTGATAATATATGGATGTAGCCAAAGAATAACATTGACATTTTATGAAAGAATACAGCAAAAGTACAGGGGATCTGTAAAGAAAGGGGCTTTCCTTCTAGTTGATATAATCAAAACTTCTAGAAGATGTTAGAGGCAACTCATGATAAAAGAGAATATAAAGAACACATTTATAATACTATATATTCTCATAATGATTTCAAATAACCCGTCACCAGAGTGGTTAAATAACTTGAGGTTGCACACTTAATAATGTTTTATATGAAAGATTTTTATTCACATTTATTTAAAAATTGATATAACGTAGCTTGTCATACTTCACAACATAGTAATACATGTATATACTTTTTTCCCAGTAATTTTAGTAATAAACAACTTTTCTAAAAGGGAATAATACACCATTTAGAAATTTATGTCTTGGAATGTAAATACAAAAGTCTAACTAAAGTGATGCTTGATAGACAAGCTGTACAGTGTCAGATTTGAATAAAGGTTTATTACGTTTCTTAAAACTAGATTGGAATATTACTTAAATCAACTGAAATCATATCTGTAGAACGAGAGACAATATGATTTAAATGTATTTTTCCCTTTCAGTTATCAGTAACTTATGGCCATTAATAAAGTGTTGTGGTTTAGATATATAATTTAAATATCCTAAAAAGTATATAATGCACTACAGATAAACAAAAATACAAAACCAATCTTAGAAGAATAAATCCATGCAAGATTTTGGAACCTGGAGATAAATAATAAAATCAAGATATGTTATAGCTTGACTCATGTAAACTATTTCAGGGGGGTAGCCAAGTTACTGGTTACTCATCTGGTGCTTTACTCATGAAAAATATGCTAACATGCATGAAAAAGGTTTATTGTCACTGTCCTTTAAAAAAAAAATCTGACCTCAAATTCTTGAAAGAATAGTGTGGGTAAAAATGGTCCACATTCACTATAAAAATTTTGGCAAGTCTACTGTAAATCTAATGTGCTGATTTATCTGGAGAACTTGTGTAGTAATGATGGTATTAATCATAAAGGATTTAGGTGAATGAATTACATAGCCTGCATATTATAAATGACCAAAATCAGAACTACAAAATGTAGTCTGTTCCCTCACACTAGGAACTGTTGAAACAAAAATAAGGTAGTAGCTAAAATCTCGTATGGATTTTATGATCTTGATATGAAATTTATTTTCATGGAGAGATGTCTTTTAAACTTTCATTGTTATCTTTTCGTATGTGCTAGGGCTACATTGTAAATTATAAGAAAGTTGCTATTATTTGTTAAACTAATTCTTTCACATCTATTTTTCCACTTCGATTTTTACATACGTCTGTTTTCATTTATAAATTTTCTGGGTATTGTGGAGGTGGTCATAGACTCAAAATGTTTTGATTCCAGAAACTGATTTTTTAAAAAAAGGCTTATATCTAATAAACAGAGCACAAAAAATTTATGACAAATTTGTGCCACTTTCTTGGTTTAAAAAAAAAACCACACATTCGCTGGACATCTCACTATTTCACAACAGGCTCTCTGACTTTTTTTCATTTACCTAGTGTAATAGGTCTAAACTTCTGTTGCTAGGGGCACCGGAAACCTTGCTGGAAGTCTTTTGGGTCTGAGTGCATACAAATAACTGTCAGTCTTGCTCCCTAGCTGCTCCTTTTCTCTTGCTGATACTGTGAGAGAGAGAAAAGCTCTGAAGTCACCAGGTCAGAGGCTCAGAGAAGCACCTAACGCTTGGCTACTTCTCATAATCTTATGAGTCTAGGAATGGTTTCTGTCTCATTTATTCAGAACAAATTAAATTGTGATATATGTGGTATTTCCTGATATGGTCTGGCTAGATATAAAGCAGATGATTTCTTCAGGGTGTTCCAGCACTTTCCTTTCCAATCTGGCTCACATCACAGATTGGTATGTGATAATTATTTTTTCCCCAAAAATGTGTAATTTGGGTTCAACTCAAGGCCCAAGCAAAGTTTTGGGTGAGTTTTTTATATTAGAGGAAAAGGTGTATATTTTTCAGTTCCATTTTTATGCATTGGCAATCAATGTAGCTTCTCTTTTAAAATTATAAGAATGAATACAATTACAATTGCTTATTCAGGTTTAGTGGAATGGGAATGATTAACTTAAACCTGAATAGAATGGAACAGAATATTTTTATTTTATTGAATACTGCATTGGTATTTCTGAATTAGTCACACTTACATTAAGGCCATTTCACACAATTCTATCAGTGTTAAGTAAAAATAGTTTTACATCCAGCTAATACTTTCAAGAGTTTATAATTTTTTCTCGCCATAGTTTGGGAGTAAATGTCAAAACCTCAAACATTTGTGAACTTAAAAGCCAAACTATTCTTTACTTGAAGTCTGTTGAAATATTTTGATCTTTTTAAAATACTTAATTTGAATTTAACCTGTTTTTCCCCTTTTATTCCAACTTACATTTTGAAACAAAGACTAAAGCTAGAAAGACTGTTTTTCCCCCAAAAGTATTGAAATTAAACATCTTTAAAAAACTTTTTTCTAGAATATTTTTAGTTGGGAGATTCATTAAAATTGACCCATTTTTGCAAACAGTATTGCTTTCAACACCATAGGATTCTTCAACCAAAAAGCTTTTCATCTTAAAAAAACCAACTAGCTCAAGGGCTAAGGGGTATCCAATTAGGTACAAATGTAATCTGTATTGACTTCAAGGCTCCTTTTCTTCAGAAGAGTGATATAAAGTGGCATTAGTATAAATTAGAATCATGCTCTTAGTTTTATTATCTCTAAGATTGGCTTGAAATTAAAATACATGTATTTTGCAGGATTAAATGTTTGCAAAGTAGTCAGTTTAAAAAAAATCCATCTCCAGACATCTCTGTTTTGCATGTAGTTGAGAAAATTAGATTGAACCAAGAAAAACTACAAAATTGAAAATGTAGACAAACAATAGGAAATTTGTTAACAGAAGTTATCTTTAAATATAAACTGTTTGGAAAATAACACATTGGTCATCAGTAGCAACATTTCTATTCACTCCCATTTAAACATTTTGAATGAATTTGGTTAATTATTTTCCTATTTTGCCTATCACATTTAATTGTGGTTATACAGTAGCACCAGATGAAAATACTAAAACCAAATACAAAGAAGTACAGTACAGATTGTAAATTCTATGAATTACATGCTGCAGAAGTACCATCTTTTCAACAAAAGTTATTTCCAACTTCCAAAACCTTGCTCTTATTTCACCAAAAAAATCAAACCAAACAAAAAATTATTGAATATACAGTATACTGTTTTTGAATAAATATGCTATCTACAATTTATAAGACAAACAATCTATTTAAATAGAAAAAGATTTGTTTTACATAAAGCAAGAGTACAAAAGCACAGCTTTTGTAATTTTGGTAATATTGCAATTTTACAAACATATTGCATAGTATGTGTAAGAAAATATTTCCATCTTTTTATATATCTATACACACAAGAAAAACATTCACATGATAGTTAATAAAAGAAAACAAAAATGGTTGGCAGACCTTTTTTGAAGTGTGTTTTTAAACAATATGACACCTAAACTCTTATACTGCTTGTATCTGCATTACAGTGAACCAGATGATAACTCCAATAGTCTAAATTTGCTTTTATTTTGTTAACACGTAGGCAATGATTTAGAAACCCTAAAAAAGTTTTCACAGGTTATTACAGCTGAGCATCCTTAACATACATCTCAACTTCTTTCAGTCCCTCTGGCTCTTTCTTCAATCCATACTAAATAGCTCCCTGTTTCTAAATTGGTCTAAAGTGAATTTTGTTACTTAGTCAAACCACTATGCAAGCAAAACAATGTACATTATAAATTCAGTTGAAGTAAGCAATTTTTTGGCACATTTTTGAATATACATTCTTTCTTCTCATGATCTCAAACAGTGAAAGATCCTCTTATGTCTGAAGAACAATGTAATTGGACAAAACTGACCCACTGTGCTCTCTGGGAAAAAATCTGCAGCTCAAAATGCTGCACAGTACATTACGGTTTCATGTTGTAATTACAACTTCTCCTCTCCTCCTTCAATTGATTTAGCGGATGCAGCTGTTTAATACTACTAACTATAATAGAAGCGTCAGTCTTTGGTCTTTAACATTTAGCCAATGAATGAATTGCAGAATAAAACCATACAGGTAACAGTGCTCAAAGAGGTCATTCAGTGTTTTTCATTTTTTAAGTAAGAAAGAGACAGTATCCTTTCCTATTAGAACAGAGACAGTTTTACAACATATTTACAACTATAATATTATATATTAATACATGTAACTGACCAGGTCTTCTGTATATTTTGTTGTTGCTATATGAGTAATTCTGAGGTCAGTCAACTAAAAAACCACATGTGTAGTGGCCAATATAACAGGCTAATAAAAAAAGTCATGTATTTATATATAATAAAGCACTTCAGAGGAGATATAAAGGCTTTTTCCTAATAGAACATTTACTAATTTAAAAGAAAAGGATTTAAAAATGCTTTTGGGATTCTCACTCCTGTCCTACAGATGTTACAATGCAATGACCTGGAAACTGGGAAGATGTTGCCTTAGCCATGACAAAATGGCACATGCCTTTTCTAAAGAGGACCACTGGAACATTCAGCCAGTCAAGCAAATTAATTGTGGAAAGGGTTGCAATTGCTTTATTATTAGCAGAATGGTAGATAATGGCCATTAAATATTAAAGAAAACAAAGAGTCTGGGTAAGTCAGCAAGTTGGCAGGTAGCAAGATAGCAGGTGGCAAAGAGTTATGAAAAAAATCCTTCAGTTTTGCACATGCGGCCTCCTTTGGCTTACACAACTACTTCATAAAATCAATAGTAGAAATATAGTGATATCACTCCCTTTTTCTGTGTGATTGATTTGCCCAGAGTATCCACTTGCCCTTCATCAGCAACTAAATTCATGAGTGAGTGCAACTTTGCATTTTTGAGCACTATCACCAGTAGAACTGGGAAACAAGAAGAAATGTTAATTTAAAACATTTTAGGAACTTGTAACTATAGTTTGTTTCAGCATTTCTTCCTATTTACTCTTCATAAACATATCATATACTATTAAGGTTCTCAGTACTGCCAATTTTAAGCATTCAGTATTCATGAGCCAGGACACAAAAATCATGAGATTAATTTAAAATATTTTTCCTTTCCTGTTATTTTTCTTCCATTTTTTAAAATGGGTCACATTTTTAAGCTTTTACTTGTAATCCTGAGAGCTAGAAATGTACTTTAAAAATGAATGCAGAGGTTCTTACATATTTTCAAGAGCTTAAAGTGAAATACCCAGTTTCATAAAGCTTACATTAACATTTGCAAGAGTTGGCAACACTGAATTGTTTTCATATAAATGCTAGTGGAAAATTAATTCAGTCTCGTGGCCAAAATGAATCTCATAATATAATTAAATTTGTTTTCTCAGTGTAATGAATTTCAGTTTACGCAGAAGTTGAAGTAGTTTATACAAATTAGGTCATCCAGCCAGGGAAATGATAATCAACTCTATGATTCAGGTGACCAGTCATACAGCTTGAATATCAGGGGAATACTCACAGCAATCTATTGCAAGTCATTCCTACGGGCTAACATTTGTTCCCACAAACATTGCTCAGTATGTTTTGAATAGCAAACAAGTATTCAGTCTGTTCAAGAACACTTGAGAAAAGCACAAAGGGTTAAATTCACTGAATCAATGTGTGTCTGCAACTTTTTGTGCATCTTTTAGACTATCAACATACTCATGTTGGCACAGGTGATAGAATGTATGAGCTCATACACACATGCTCATTGGTATTCTCCTCTCCTTGGAATGTCATTTGTCCTAATGAGTTTTACACATGTATTCTGTTACCTATTTACTCACATAAAAGATATCCCTTTCCTCATAAGGTCATTTGAATGTCAAGCATACATTGACAATTCCTATAATCTTCTTATAATGCTGCTACTCTATTTCCTGTATTACAGAGAATGAGCTTGCTATAAAAAAAGGAAAACAAATGACAAATAATAGAAGTTGTTTTATTAAAGACAAGGAATGAAAGTCTCAAAGCAAATACTGTAAATCAATAGTTAATAGCTGAACAAATCACAGCAAGTGAAATAATCTTATTTAAAGTCCGTGTCTGAATATGTAGCAGTGGAGGGGATACTTCTTTCTTTTGGGTGAAATTCATCCTTACACATAAGACTAGAACATAGCCAAGTACCTGTGAAGCAATGTATAGGCCTTATGCTGGTCTTCTATATAAGGATGATTTTCAACTATAGTGAACCAAATAAACCTTATTAGATGACAGTAAATCAAAATTAATCACATTATTATGCTTGCCAAGTTTCACTTTTAATTTTATTTTTACCACCCTATTACTGCTCTCCTTGGCTTCAGAGTTAGCTTTGCAGGCTAATGATTGCATTGGTGTTCTTACAATCAGACACAATGAAAACTATGAGCTGAGTGGGACAACTCAAAAAGATAATATTTAAAAGCACACTTACCTTACTGTTATTGAATCATCTTCCCACAATAGGAAACATTTTTTTTATCTGTTTTACATTCCTGGATTCTGCAAGTTTCAAGATACTCTTGTTAAGCAGCAGTGTGACATATTTATCAACAACATACCAAAGAGTCTTTTTGCAGGAGCTCAATTACTAAAAAACAAACAAGTAATGAAAAATGAAAGAGAACTGAGCTCCCATGTCAAGCTAGTCAGAAAGAGTTAATATTGAGAGCTGAGTGGAACTATGATAACATTATCTAAACACAGACTTGGTAGAGTTAATGCAATGTCAATGTACTTACTAATATTCTCTGTAATGTCATCGATTTTTAATACTATTTTAAAAATCTTAATAGCAGATGATAAACAAAGAACAGATAATAAATCTGAAGCTGCCATTCCAGTTGTTAATGAATTGCTTCTTGGTGTTATACAGTACATTAATATTTATGTATTTAGTTGGTATTATGTTCAAATGGCAGCGGATACACAGAGCTATAAAATGGACAAGATGTACCTCTGAAGAGTGTTTCTATATATTCTGGAAATTATCTATTTGATCAGTCATTTCCATAAAATCAATATTTTCCTCTTTATCCTGTTCTTCTTTTCCAGCAACTGTATGTTTTACTTAAAGCAATCACTTTATGTGCAATAACCCACTAATTACTCTGTAAGGCTATTCAGATCTGACAAACAAAAGCCGATGTCCTTTGAACTCTGTAAATGTAATATTGCTAAGTGCTTCCAAAATGTACCTAACATACAAAACCCTAGACTTATTAGACAAAGAGTAACAGCACATTTGTTTTAAAGAAACAAAAAAATCAGGGAGGGATTCTGTCTCTCTTTTTTGTTAAAAACCATGTACTGAATTTTAATTGTTTAGTAAAGCAAGCATCACACAATGCTTCAAAATTTTAAAATTCAGGGATAAAAGTTTACATCCAAAAAAGATGAATGGAAAATTGTGCTTTCAGACAGGAAAGTTAATTATCATACAGGAGTAACCTATTCATCTCACAAATGAATTCTGGGCAAATTTGTTTAAGTACTGTATATATGTGTGCAGTTCATATCCAGGTCCTGCATAAAACTAAAACTATGTGCTTCACTTCATGTAGCAAAGGCACCTGTGTTATTCTCCCTTTAGGACAAAAGATGATATTATGATCCAGGTTTCCTGATGAAGATTATATTTATTTTTGAGTATCTCACTCCCATCTCTACGTTGAGTGGTAACATGAGCCACAAGAGAAGGCAGCGTTGTATTCCTGCTTACACTGGAAGAAGTTGCTCTGCAGGCCATTTGAAGCTTCAAACTTGTCACAAGGGAAACCAAGCAGAACCGTGAAGCAGAGGGATAGTAACAAAAGGCTATTCTGGTGTGAGGAGAAACTGGAATCATTTCAGCTCCACAAACAGATGTTGCTACTGGATTGACAAGTAGAGCCTGCTCCTGCCGGGGAAAGGTATAGTTTACCATTTGGACAAACGCAGAGCTCATAGATAGTCTGTCGAGGAGTTGAGGAGCTAGATGGGGAAGATGAAAAGGAACCCATTGGTAGATTTCCCAGTCGGATTGTATCTGCATTTAAAAATATCTACAGAAGGAAAAAAAGAAAAACAACTGAATTTAATTTCTTTTTCCATCCTTTATATAAAATATTTTAAACTTTATTTTAATGTGCACCTGAGAGATTAATATGAACATCTACACAACATACAATTCTACTCATATTTCTGTCAAATGGTTTTAAACACATTACTGCACATAAGTACAGTTTATGCAAATACCTCTTAATTCCTTATCCAATATATTTATTCAACTGTAATCAGGTGCCTATACAATAACATTCTGAGATTGTTTCCTGAACAAGATAATTTTTCTTTGGTATCGTTTATGATGGCAATTCATTCATTCCATGCAATAGCATCTCTGTGCTTTGAACAATTTGTATGTTACTAAGTGTGAAGTGCTATTAAAGGTCATTTTCCCCATGTATTTTTAAGTAGCAAAATAATTGTGGCAAAATGTGCTTTACTGTATAGTCTTAAAAATAGTTACATGTATATAATGGTTAAAGAATCAGATGTGTTCACATACACTAAGGTGATGTGCTTACAGAACTTGAAATCAGATGAAAAAGGTTTAAGGTTAAAGTCTTCTTAAGAGAACAATCAATTATAATCAGTTGGTTTCTGAACAATGTATCTGAGTCAGAAATGCCTTTTTTACTTTCTTTCATCACTAAATGTTCTGAGACTGGCCAGTTTGGAAAAGATAATGTGGTCATGAATTTATGTATAAATAGTTTCATAATGTTTAGAAAGTACTTCAGCCATCTGCCCAATTGCTCAAGGTGCTGAATAAATAACTACAGTATAATGAATTTTCATCACAATAGATGAATAATATAATAAAAAGGTTTGTCCTTCAGAGGGACAGACGGGGAGGAGGGGGAACCTTTGAAAAAAGTGAACTTTTTAGGTGTTTGTCTATTTTTAATTTAAAGATGGATGAACCTAGGGAGATTATGTAAGAAGAAAGCTCCATGCTAGCTAATGCAAGATCATCCACTGCCCTAGGTGCCTCACTGGCAGAATAGATGATGTTTCAGTACAGACACAAGCCCTGGTGCTAGTGCTATGAAACTCATGGGGTAGTGGAAATCCTGAAGTATTTCCCAGTGCTTTAATATGTTACCTATCCCCATTATGGGCAGCAAATATATAGAATGTATAATTGCATAGCATATACATTGCTGCTCAATTCAATAGGCAAACATGTTTTATATTCAACACCAGCTGAAAATGGTAGAGGAGCCATGGGAAAGCTCTGCTAAGAGCTAACTTCCTACTGGAAGTAGAATAGGATGCACAGGCTATGATTTACCAGAGAGAAGACCAAGACGTATTCCAGACAGCTAGAAGTATTCTATTATATTCTTAGTAAAGAAACTACAGAAAATATCTCTGAAAACCTAAGTGAAGGAATGGAACAGAGATTTGTGTGTGACATAAACAACCCTTAAGATGATCAAAATGTGCCCCCACAGAGATCTCCAACTGATCAAGGGAGACACATGACATTGTTGGCGTTCCACGCTAAGAAGAATGGAAAGAACATTATGCAAGAGGCAGAAGGATAAAAGGATGTGTGATCTTCTAGAGCCAAGACACAAAATGTGGCCCTTACATTGGATAGGCTTCTGTTGTTGATGGACAAGGATTCACAGATTATGCCAGTTGATACTAATGACGCTGGCCAGCTCCCAAATTGTAAATGATGGCAGAAGTGTAACCAATCTCATTGGGGTACGTGGTCTAGATATCCAAGAGGATATTAAACTAATAACAAAAAGGGCGGGGGAAGAGAGAGAATACATGAGCACTCATTTAGCACAAAATGAACAGTCTCACAAACAAATTAATCAAAGCATCAGAGGACATCAAGAAAAAATCTTTAATTGTTTGTACACTAATTCTAGGAGCTCGGGTAAAATAAGAGGAATCAGAATTGCTCATTTATGGGCACAAATTTGACCTACTTGATATTACTGAAACCCATTGGGAAGGTCATCTATGTCAGAAATGGAACCATCTGTTTCTAAAGGTATGGCTACACTGCAGCCTTTTTTGATCCTTTTGTCAGAAAAGCCTTTTCTGACATTTGGCCCATCTAGACTGGGCCAAATGTCGGGAAAAAAAAACCCTCTTTTAAAAGCCCCCTTATTCCTCATAGAATGAGGAATATAGGGGATTCTGAAAGAGCGTGTTTGGCTCTTCTGGAAAAAAAACGGAAGAGCAAACGTGTCCCTGCATATGGAAGAGTTTTTCCGAGATACCTCTTGTAGTCTAGCCATATCTTAAGTCACTGACAACTGAAGAAGCAAATTATTTTTAATTCTTATGGGTCAATGTTCCAACAAGTAAAGCACAGTATAAAACACTAGTTGGTACCTACCACAGCTCACCAAATCACAGCAGTTCTTTCGCATCTATTTGTAAAGCGTGGTGAGAAACATTGCATCATCAAGGGACTTCATGCTGAATATCATATATTGGAGAGCAAATGCTGCCAGTACTACAATATCCTTGGACTGTCTAAAAATGTCTAGATGACAATTTCCTAACTCAAAAAGTGTTGCATCCAACATAGAAGTATTCTATATTAGACTTTATCCAGGCAGATGAAGGAGAATAGATCACAGAACTAAATATTCAGTCCAAGTGATCTTGACTTGATTACTGTGGTTTGTACATAAGAAATGTACAGATCATGTCAGCCAAATATATACTATTTATAGATTCAGTTTAAAAAAATAAACAATGATACCAAAATTAAGCAAAAAATGAATGAGAACAGAAAACTGCTTAAGAATATTCATTTCACTAGCTGTGCAAAATGCCAGTGTTTAAAAAGAAAGCTGCACTTGTTAAAAAACCAACAACCTGGTTTGGAGGGGAAGTGAAAGCAATTGTAAATAAGTAACAACAATAACAGTATCTAGACACAGATATAGATAAGAAATGGAGAAAGGGGCAAGGCAAGAGGAATGAACATAAATTAGTAGCTATTAACTGTAGAATATTAATAAGGGAAGTAAAAAGATACAAGGAGAAGTCTATGACCAACAGAATTGAGTTCAATAAGGAGGAGCTTTAAAAGTATATTATGAACAAAAAGAATCCCAACAGTTGTATTATTTCATTGCTAAATGGTAGAAATGTCAATAATAATTCAGAAAAGACATTTAATACATATTTCTGTTTTCTGTGTGGGGAAAAAAATCAATATATTTATAATCGCATGATCATGAAATACTTTTCATTGCAACTCAATAACTCAGAAGTAAGCCAGTATCCGAGCAAGTAAAGTTAGATGTTTTAAAATCAACATCTGTGGACAACTGACAAATAAGAGTTTTTTAATAAGCTGATTGAGAAGGACTCCGTACTGTTAATGGTAGTTTTCAATAAGTCTTGGAACACTGAGAAGTTCCAGTGGAACAGATGAAAGCTAATATTGTGCTAATGTTTAGAAAGAGTCAACAGGATGTCCTTGACAGGGATAGGCTTGTCAGACTGACATCACTCCCAGACAAAATAATGAAATGCCTGATTAGGGAATTGATTAATAAAAATGTAAAGGAGAGTAGTATAATGAATGCTAATCAACAGGGATTTGTATAAAATAGATTTTGCCAAACTAATTTGATATCTTTTTTGGATGAGATTGCAAGTTTTGTTGGTAAAGGTGTCATTGTTCATGTAACATGTAAGAAAAAAGTTTACTCTCCTGTACAACATTTGACTTGGTACTGCACAACACTTTTGTTTAAAAAAACCCCTAGAACAATAAAAAAATTAACAGAGTAAACATTAAATGGATTAAACACGGGCTGTCTGACAGGTCTCAAAATGGGGGCTCATTGTTGAGTAAATATGTTTCTACTGGGGTTTCACAAGGACTGGATTTTGGCCCTTTGCTATTTAATGTTTTATCAATAGCCAAATACAAAATCATTATAAGCTGCAGCATATATATTGGTTTCTCCCTCATAACAGAGAATGTGGTGACAGGGTCAAAGATGGCAGTGTTGTCAGAAGGCTGAGCTTTTGTTAAGGAGAACAGGATCAGCAAGTCCATGAAGAACAATCTGGGATTGTATAAGATTTCTATATAAGATTTTTGTATACTTCTATATACAGCAGAAGAATCTGAGATGATTTTGAACTATTGTGTTTATTTTGGGAACATGGAAAAACACTTTGAACTGTTTTTTACTGTTAACCCATTCCCACCTGGTGGTTGATGGGTAATCACAAGACGGACTATGGGGCATTCCTAAGTGGCCCTGAATGGGGGAAATAAAATGAGGGTCATTTCTGGCCAAAAATGGTTGGTCAATAAATGGAAACCCTGCTACAAGAGGTGATATTGCCTCTGTATTTGGTATCGATGTGCTTGACTATGGAGTATCATGTTCAGTTCTGCTGTCCATAATTGAAGAAGGACTTTGATAAATTGGAGTGGTCAGAGAAGAGGTGTGAAAATAATTAAAGGGTTGGAAAATTATGCCTGATAGGAGCTCAATTTATTAAATTTATGGAAGAGCAAGTTAAGGGTCAGCTTGACAAAGCCCTAGATGAGTTGATTTAATTGGGATTGGTCCTGAGTTGATTTAATTGGGCAGGGGGCTGGACTTGATGGCCTTCTAAGATCTCTTCCAGCTCTGTGATTCTATGGGTGACTTTAGTATAGTCTAAAATATCTACAAAACAGGATTATCCCTTCTATTAGGCAAAAGTGTAACAAAATCCAATCACTGAAGCTGAATCTAGACAAATTTCAGACTAGAAATAAAGCATAAATGTTTAACAGTGAAGGTAATTAACCACTTCTAGAGTAACTTCACCAGGATTGAAGTATATTCTCTATTACTAGAAAATTTTAAATAAAGATCGATTTTTTTCCCCTCAAAGATACACTCTAATTCAAACAGGAATTTATAGACTTTCCATGGTATTCTAATATATGACTCTATAATGGTCTTTTTTATGTATCAGTGTAGCTACAGTGTGCAGAAACTCACTGTAG